TTGCTTAAACCGCGAGAGCTGGATAATTTGATGGCCAGTGTCAGCCGATCGGTGAGTGCTTCAGAATATTATCCCTTATGGTATTATTTTTGAACAGCTTCAACTTTATGAAAATTCTAACTGTGAAGCATCAAGTTTAATCACGTGTAACATGGATACTACGTTACGTCACGTCCCCTTTAACGATAATTTATAAGTAAGTAGCTATTTGATGTGGTAACTCTTAGAACCCATAAAGGAAAGGAAGCACTTGTTCTGGTCTAATCCACTCATTTTTGGATTTTCATTACTCGTTTAACAGGTTCATGCGATGCGCGGTGGATGCTGCTTAGAAGGCAGCAGAGCGTGTTAACGAAGCTGCTCTTGACGATGCCCAGCCTCTCGCGAACGAAATTGTCTCTTTTGCTGTTGTCTCAATTTTCCTGTCGCACTAGTTGCTGCAGCGGCACGTGGTGTGTCATTAGTGCTGACTATATTAATAGTTTCCAAGTGAATTTCATCTGTTCGGGGGAGTCGGACATTTGTTCCGACTCGAAGAAGATGCCTCTTTTCCTCGAGTCTCAAACGGCGACCAAGTATGAGCCTAAAAATAGGAATCGAGCGGTTTTGTCAGGCTTATGGTCACTACAAGAGCCTCTTTAGTTTGAAGAACGAGCAATCTTACTCAACCCCTGCGACTACTACTGCGCATTCGCTTTCTAGCGAATGCGGTGATGTGTTACAATGTTGAGATGAAGATTTCATTGGTACTAAGGCGTTCGTGAGTGCCGCGCAGTAGGCTCGAGACAGCAATGAGCTGCGTCTTACACCTGAAAACAATTCTAAAGTACTAACAGAAAGGATTGTGAAAGACTTGTCAGGCGAAACAAGTAAACGTCATCGACTCCATTGTTTGATGTAAGGCCGTTGCTCGGACTCAACATCAGCGCGAGCAACTTTCGCTCTAAAGGGGACTTTAGAAAAATAGAAAAAAATCTTTATCCTTTACTCAACCGTCTTTGAAACAGCGGTAACGACAAAAAGATGAAGGTTCATTTCGAAACGCCTTCATACTCAGTGTGCAGCACACTGGGCGTGATGCCTGGGAACGAAAGCTTGACGCAGCTCGTACTAGGTTCAAGAAACTACTTTAACGGGAGCAAAAGCCAGGTTGCACTATCTGTCATGTAAGGCGGAGATTTTATGTCTCACGTAGGGAGACTCATGTCCGTGCTGTTTCGATAACACGCAACGCAATAAAAGAGGCAGTTACTTTCTTTTTCATTTTAAGGTAGGCTGCATTTCTCTTCCAAATGTGCAATGCGATTGCCAACCTGCAATCTCTTTACCAGCGCCATGAGTGCGTGTTCTACGATGGCCCTTCTGATTCATCGGATGTGTCTTGCCGGAATGTTGGACGGGAGCCTATGCGTCAACCATCTGCTGGGAGCGAGGCTCCCAGCTGTCGTGCGACGGCGGATAGCCGCGTCAGCGAACAAGATAACTCTTTCGCTGCCCCCTTACGTCAATTTGGTCCAAGTTACGTTGCACATAAAGCGTAAACCATCGTGAGAGTCCATAAACGTCTGTGGTGGGGGAAAGGACAACTACAGCTTATGTGTTGGAGTTACAGGCGGAGCTTAGTCGCCTTTATCAAGTCTGACAAAATCTGTGTGAGATTACCGAGAAAGAGATACAGGAGCGTCCCCCTCTGGATACGTGAGTGCAACACATCCGCATTCGTTAACCATGCGACCGATCGGAATTTTCGCTCTACCAAATAACGAACGAGCAGAGGCGTAAAGCTTTGTGCGATAAATTTCTGACATCCGTTGTCAACTTGAGGCACTACAGAGCCAGATTAAAAAAAAGGCTTTGGAACAAAAAAACTCTTATAGGTTCTTGAGAGTGACGGGTGCATTCTCCCGAGAATAAGCCCTCGTACTGATAGTTTAGGCGGAGACGGCCGGCGTAAAACGCAAAGTGGTTCGGATCCTGCGAGGCAACTCGATCGTGGACACATTATCTTTGTGGTGTAGTACATGAAACGGGCTGATTTACTGAAATAGTCGTTTACTAATACCCATACAAGTTACTGGATACCTAGGTAGAACTACTATAGACAGTAGACTTAAGTCTTCAACAGTAAATATCAGAAACTTTTCTTTTCCGTGTTTGTCAGCGTTACGTTTCTGCCGTTCCACCGCATTAGCTATGGAGTCTTGTACGAAAAAGACCACATTTTATCGAGTCAACATTAAGTTTTTGCTTAACTGTTGTGTCTGTATCAGAGCGCTTGGTCCGTACTACTAAGATTTGTCTCTCTTTATAGCGAAGGTGTCATCATCTCGCTGGCGTGGTCATTGGCGATGCTTGATTTACCACCATTGTCGTCCTCGTCTGGGTCAGCAAAAGTGTCGTCACTTATGCTGATATTGTATTCTTCGATTTCAAATTGATCGACATCGGTAATGTTCGCGTTGTCGAGTACTTTGACACGTGACGAGCAAGATCCAAAACGCTTTTTACTCGAGCAAATTACTCCCCTTATGAACCAGCTTCGCACACTTAAAGGGGGGGGTAGGAGTGGATAAAGTAAGCCATTCACGAACAATTGTGTATGCGTTGTCGACGCATGCACGGAGTTTTTGATGGCGATCTCCACCATTGGCAAAAGGATGCTACAATATGCGAAGGTACCTATACTCAAATTGTCTTTTCAAGGATGCGGCTGACGAATTATGTCTGATCCTCTGTCTTGGGATGGTCAAAAGTTGACATATTCAGACGTGTTACGAGGGATCGGAGCATGGATTGCCAAAACTTTACCGTGAAGCGAGGGTCTTTGTCAGTGAATAATTCACGGGGCAGACCGTGAAGTAAGAATACCGTGTCACTGTAGACACGGGCACATCCCCGAGTTAAGATTGACTCCTTAAAAGGCAGCAAGATGTTGTATCTTGTTGAAGCTGTCAACAGTCAAGACATTATTTTATCTAAAGGATTTACGGAAGAGTTGAAGATAAAGTCCATGAAAAACGACTGCCAACATTCTTCCTGAATTGGTAGAGGCTGTGCCGACGCACAGGATGAAGGATTGGGATTTACCCGTTGGGACACCTCACAAGCACGAATGTAATTGCGCACAAACCGATACTGGAGGGGACAGTAAAAGTCGTGACTTACCGTGTGAAAAGTTCCTACACGCCCACGGTTCCTACTAGGTGGTGCGTCATCGCACTCATTCAAGATACTCAGGTGCAAATTGTGGTGAGTGATGACGAAAATTTGAGGTATGTAGCCGGAAACGGCTGTGTTGTACAGCAACCATTTGCGTATTTTTTATCGATCCGCTGAGAATTGATACAAGACCGGTAAATCTTTGGGAGATTTACGAGATGAAGTCACCACATGATGTATCAGTCACAGAAGAGCCGAGTTTTATGCGTACGCCTTTTGATGCTGTCGAGCAATATTGATGACAGAGAACTATAGCTAGTGTTGAACAATGATTAATCCACACTGTTGAACTGCGCAGCCGTATCGAGTTCGAGTCAGCGCCAAAACACGTCCGCTACGACATTAAGTCGCCGGGTATGCATTCCACGGAGAATCGCACTTCGCGAAGAAGGACAGCCACTCCGCCATCCTTTGCGAAAGGTCTGGATTGTTCACGGTCGTGCAAAAATGACGCATGGGTCGTATAAACTACAAACGGCATATCTTTTGGCAGACAGACACGACACTTCGCCAGTTCGTACTTCATAGAAAGCAATTACTTGTCATGCACCGGTTAACTACACTCAGCTGCTTGTAGCTGACGCGACTGAAAGTAGACGACGCGCTCTATGCCGTCTGCACCGTACTGCATTAACGAGCATCCAGTTGCAATATCGCTGGCGTCACAGACCTCATGAAATGGTCTGTTTTGATCTGCAACCGATAAGATGGGCGATTGCATCGTGCTAAGCTTGATGCGTTTAAAGAAACGCTTAATATCAGCGTGTCATAGCCACTTCTCGTTTTTTGTAAAAGTCGAGAGAGATGTACAGTTATCTCGGCGTAGTTGTGCGAATATTTGTGTATTTACGCTGCTAGACCAAGAAGCGTTTTGGTCTCGTTAACACCGACTGGCACAGGTCATTAAGCAATCACCTTAATTTTTAAGGATGAGGGCGTACGCCGTGTTTACATACGATGTACCAAAAAGTGGTATTTCGTTGGCGGATGCACACAGTTCCTTAGGTTGGCATTTGACATATGCTTCCGATAAAGTGTAAGAAACTTCCGGGCATGTATTCTCTATATCTAACGTATTTTTATCGATATACCGGCTACGTATAAACACATCGTCATGGTTACTCTGTTCGAAATTTCGCACCGGTCTCAACAGATTCGTTAACACATCTGTTAAACGTTGCAGGGGCGTTACTTAGACCCCGTGGCATCACTTGCAACTCCCAGAGAATACCACTGGGAACGCTTACTGCAGTGTATGGGATTTCCTGTTCACGCATGAGGATCTGATAGAATCCATCCATCAAATCCATGGATGAAAAGATGGTACTTTTTGCCATACCATCTATGATGACGTCCTTTCTTGAGATCGGCGTTTGAGCCGGTACTGTTGCAGCGTTTAATTTGGGGAAAGCGTGCACTATTCGCCACCCTCCTGTGGCCTTTCGCACACTGAAGGTCGGAGAGCTGTGTAGAGATGTTGATTCCCTCACATGACCAGCCGCTAATCGATCGGCAAATAATTTATCGATCGCTGTGACCTGTTCACGAGGCAGTGGCCACTGCTTCATGACACAGTATTTCTAACCAGGTTTCAGTTCGATCTCATGCCGCGTGCCTTTATCTTTGGGCAGCTTGCATGGCACGGATTCCGGGAAAACATCCCTGAATTCTATCACATTCTTATACAAAGGATTTGTCTATAAAGACTCCCAAGGTTGTTTGAGACGTGTATCGCTCAATCCGGGTCTTCTCATCGAGGACACTCTCGTCCATAGATGAACTTAGGAGAACCGTTCGTTCTCAGCAAACACTTGTGCCGACCGAATATCGGTGACGTACTCGATCTCAGTGGCGATAACGTAGATCTGCTTGGTCTTGTCATTACGCAGATCTTGCATGAACCGTTCAGATTCTAAGGTTGGAAATTATTTGACCTCCAAAGTCAACTTCGCAGGTGCGATCAGGTCAAGTATAAAGGAGCCTACACTTGACGCGTCGTTAATCAAGAACTTCAACGTCTCGATTACCTTCTAAATAACTCTTGCTTATAGGATGCTGGGGTCTGATACCCTCAGACATTTAAAATCTCGTTACTCAACAACAACTGCTTCAAATTTTACTTTCTTACGTACATGAAGAGCTTATTCCTCGACCTTATTTAGCTGCAGTTGCGCTACCGCAGCTAGGTCCTCTATAACGTATCTCCAGCCGATCAAGGATCAGTGTGTTAAAGTTTATGGGCAAGCTCTCCATTTTTTTTTGGATGTCGCCCGCTAAGAGTAACCCATCTCCCGATCCACTTGACTTCTTCGAGTGGTGAAACTTCGACGCTTTCTGTGCACCCATACATCCGCCGGCGTCTCCGTACACAGTGTAGTTTATTTGTCACATTGTGATCTGGTGCATTCTGACTAATGACCGTAACGCTAGTGGGGCCACCGCAATTACTCGCAGTACATCCACACGGTTGTGTAAGCTCCAAGGCTTTCACCAGAAGTTCTTCTGAGGCACAAGTGGCAGGCATCTTGACAGTATGAATCTATCATGTAACATTTAGTTCTTACTCTATGAACTAAGGCACACCTAGGATGACGTCAAATTTGTCATCCGAATTATTTACGATGAGATCACTACCTTAATGCAAATCTTCTGGCATGGAGTGAAGTCTTACTACACGTATTATCAAAGTAATAGATGCGCCTGTTGCAACGCGCCGTCCTCCTCGTTGGTTGGATATCGCGCCGAACAAAATTGAGCTACGATCCTCTAGCGACTGACAACAAACAAGGTGTGTTTTATTCACCTCATTACAATAAGGCACCAAGTGACAAGTCTTCGATTCTTTCTAACCTTGAAGTGATGAGGGGTACCTCATCACTAGGTGCAGAGACACACAGTGATTGTGTGTCCGAGCAACTACTATTGAAACATTTGATAATTATCTTGATTCTGCTGGATAGACAGGGCGTCTCATCCGTACTGATCATGACCATTTTCTTAGGGCCCACTACGCTGATGCGATTCGCAACAACTTTGGACCCGAGTCCTTTGCCCTTCTTTGCAAACGGTCTTTCAGCTCGCTCAATTTCTTGAGACACTGGGCGTAGGGCGCTAAGCTTGTGAGCGTAGTATCCTAATTTCTGACAGTGAATGCAATTATGAAATCACTTATTGGATGAAGAGCAACTTATCCCGCTCTAAACACAACAGAAGGTTCATAGGTTATGAGCCTTTCGACTTCTTGTCGTCTCGTAGGACGATATGAACCCAAAATAGCATGAGCCTGTCTCAAGCTATTGTATTTCTGTTCCGCAACTGATATCGCTAATTCTAAAGTTACCAATTTTCTTAAGTGTAACAGATGAGGATTGACGGGACCGTCCACAATAACCAGAATGAACACAGTGATATAGGTGTGTTTATAAATCGGGTTGGCCGTGCTACAACTCTTAAGAAGCCAAATGTGCTGGGCGTAAATGTGCATATCACGCCTACCCTGCTTACTATATAAAAGCTATGATTGAGCACTGAGATAAGCGTTTGGCAGTTTAAACGTTTATCTGAGTCGACTCTTGAAGACACTTAATGACCCACACATATGTGTCGTGCAACTTGAGCCCTAATGTCCAGGTTCTGGCACGTCCATCCAGGTTCAAGTGAGCATATGCGACTTGCATTTGCTCATCAACGATGCGACGAGCCCTTATGGAGTCATTAAAATCGAAGACCAGCTCATCATGAACTATACCTCGACTTTCTGTACTTTAAGATGTCAGTTTTTAAAGTTCGGGTCAACACGCGTGCGTCACCCGCGACAGCAGCATGTGCCTGCTGTTGTATCAACCTTTTGAGCTGTAGAACGCCCTGTTCTCTTAGTAGCTCTGCCTGTTTGAAACCCTGATAGTGAAGCACGATTACTTTATCCCGTTACTCGTCATCTTCAAATTGAAGGAACTTAGCGACGGCGGCATGCTGCCCCTCTCTGTCCAGTGCGGACAGCAGGGCAGTGAAGGCATATTCGCCCACGGTCGAACGCATTCGTTCCAGCGCACTCCATTTAATGTCACTCAGAAGAAATCAGATTTCACGCGTGGCGTGAAAGATGTTACTATCATCATCCAATATGTCCATATCGAATGTATGGGTTGCGGTCCATCGACGGACTACAAAGTGCTACCATGTTTAAAGGGGCACTGGTCAAATGTACTGCTTCAGTGTAGTGCACCTTCAGTGACAACAGTGTAGGTAGTGCCGCGCGTCACTTCACGTATGCTATGCTTGCAGAAGAATACAATCTAAAGAGCGAAGCGTTTAACAGAAGTAGAAAGCAAAACTTTATTAAATGTAAAGCATCAAGTTTAATAACATGTTTCATGATCACCCGTTAAATCCTAGTTCTGTTTCGGTGCTGTGAGCATTTTTTTAATAAATTATGATTGTATAAATCTGCTATGCGATGGACGTTTTGCTCTCCTAGCAGTAAATCTGAGTCGACTGTAGGTCACATAAGCCAGAAATAGGCTTTCCAAAAAAAGTAGCCTGCGGGTGATCACGCTAACTTTTAATCGCTAATGTTTAACAAGGCGTCAAATAACAATTTCAAGGCTTGCATTCGACAGCTCAATTTTCACAGGAACCCGATTAAGGGTATTCAGTATTTGCTTATTAGCTTCGACTTACATATTAGACGAGAAGTTAGATTAAAATAACCACGAGCGCAAGAGTGTCTTGTTGTTCTTATGTGCCCCTAATATTCATTATTTTACAGTCGGTTTTAAAGAATCATTGTCAGCGGTACAAGAGTCTGCGGAATAAGTTAAGACCTGAGTTACAGCTCTAATCACTACTCAACAGTCGAAACGGATTTGCTGCGTGGTGCTTCATCGTGATAAATTTCATGAGTGCCAAATTGAATGATGGTCAAGTGCAGTTTAAGCGCTTTTTGTTTTGATTAATGAGACTACTAGGATTCAACAATTGCGTCACTTCTCGTCCCGCTGCTTAGGCGATGCGGTAGCTCGTACCTTTCTCGCTCTACTTCTGCTACTGTTTGGACTCATGAATGTACAATGCCTTCGCTTAGATCTAGCCTGTCGAGATCAGCTACTAGTTCCTTCCATTTAAACGCACAATTAGCTGTTCTTCACTGACTAAGGCCCCATTCATAAACGCAATGCAAACTCTAACGCCAGATTCTGCGCAACTTGCAGAACCAAAACCAGTTTTGAAGGTCGATATGTATCGTTGTTATATGTGGTCGGTATCTGGATACATCTTGTATTTCACCGCGCTTACGGATGTTGCCGTTTATAGTCGTCTACGTGTAATTGAGTAGTAATTCAAGTAGTAATGGATGCAGATTGTGGGAAAATTACATTGTGCTGATTAAGTAAGAAAAATTGCAAGCTAGGCTGACTTGTGATCAGATACACCGGCCACATTTACGACACCGCAGGTAAGTCCCTCAACAATAGACCACGAGGCGCAAGACAGAGGAACGACAATGCAGACCGAAGAGTAGGGATGAAGCCAAAAAGTGATTAGCGAGGACTAAGAGCAAGAATATGGCATGCGAAGCTAAAGAAAAGCAGAAAATTAGGAGCAGTGACGGTAATAAGTTTCACCCAGATATTTTTGTCATTAAATCAAAAAAAGCTCCCCCACTATTACGTAAGTGTCCGGTAAGAAGAGACGTCGTAAGGCTCCACAAGCGCAGCCAATATAGAAGAAGGAAAATTCATCGATCCCAAGCACGCCTTTCAGGAAGCTGAGAATCCACTACAGAAATGTTTTCAAAAATCAGTAGTGCCACACCGGTTTTTGCAAAATAGTTAAAGTTGGGCGAGTCCGACCTAAGCGCTAAAAAAGTTTTGATATCAAAAAAATCTCTAGAGCAGTGATGATTGGTAAAAAAAAGCCCAAGCGTGTTGCGAGAACTCTAGTGCGTTTTCTAGACACCCCAATAAACGATGTAAAAAATGATTTAGCAATATGTGTTTTCCGCCGGCAGTGGTGATGGAGCTAATGTCGAGCGACATCAACTAAGTTTTCTAAAAAAATCAATATAAAAGATACCTTGGTGCAGCGACGGAAAGTGGAAAATACCTATGAACTGTGAACTAACCCAAGTGCGCCTTCCTTGCCGCCGTAAAAATGCGTCAGCTAGTAACATCGGCGATCCGTACGGCCGCACTTTCCATAGTAACAAGACTAATTCGAGCGAGGTCGAACAATTTAGCAAAATGTTGTAGTATGGTCAAAAGAGCCTAGAGTTGTCGTCGTCGGTGGAAATCTCCCAAGAACATTGAAAGAGCTCAAGTGAGCGTTTCTCGAAGGGTAAAAACACTGTAGGAAGTAAATCTGGTAATCCGTAGTGACACACTAGCCTAGTAATAAATCTGGTGCAGCTTGTGGCCTGGTCAGTGCTGAACATCGTCGTTTCAGCCCGTATGAATTTACTTGTGGCTGCCGACACAAACTATCTCGCATGTTGAGTATCTGAACAGTAATTTGAGAATGTCGTTTTTGCATCGGTCCTTTTCGTGTCTCTACAAAGTGATTATTTGTGTAATGCTGTACCCATCTACCAATGACAGATTGTCCAAGTGTCGAGCTAAAACACATGGTTCGTCGTTCAAAATGGACATAGATCTCAGGTCAAGTCAAACTCGGGTAAAGAGGTTTATTACGGTCCACTTGCTGGAAAAAAGAACTTTGACAACGGCAAAAATGTCGACGACGTGGAATGCGCGTGTCTAACCGCAAAATTCTTTGTTATGCTGGCGCATTTACAAAATGCGCTCCTTTTGGAAAGCTTTTCTTGATCATGATAATCCTTCTTTATTTGGCGTTGCTTGGATACAAGTTGATCCGTTTAATTCGATGCATTCCTGGTCGT